CGCTGTTGGGGGCAGAGTCAGTATTACAGAGAAGCAGCAAAGATTATCCTCATCCATGGAGGCACTGATCTGACCCCTTCAATAACAAACTTCTAATACAAGCTGCCTGGCTATTATGATGAAGGAACACATCTTGAAGGGACAGTTAACCCCTTAAAATCCCAGTCTTATTACATTCTAAGGCTTATTATCCTGTAAGTACAGGAACCTTAATGCAAACTGACTCAACTATTCTTAGGTTATAGAAGTGTGCAATAAAACCTTTGGCTATTTAAGGGGTTAAAGCCAATGAATGTTAAGACGTCACTAGTTAGCATCACGTTCAATTATTATTAGCCATTAGGCCTGTCACGCTTATTACACAGTTGGGAACTGAACCGAATAAACATCTTTAGATGGCAACAGTGAGTAGTATTTGTTTATTTGAGCCATTTCAAAGTCCTTACAGGAATGTCTGTCCACTCAATGCAATCAACATCCATCTTGGAAACATCCCAGGGCAGTTATTTCTACTCATATGGGACCAAGCTCCTATATAAATGCTCTTTGAATATCCTAAAACCTATAAATCACAAACTAAAAGCTAAATTAAAACAATAAAATGAAATCCAATTGAACAAGCCTAATTATGCTCGCTTTGTAATGAACATGTAGTTAGTCAGTGTTCTTTAAGTAATGACGATATCCACAATATGCTCAGAAAAGCATATTGTCACATAATTTATCATGATAATGATACAATACTGTCATATTGCCCACCTATTATAAAAAAATTTGCACTGTTTGGTTAAAATAACTCACAAAAGTATGTTTTTTTCAGCTTGTTGCGGCTACACACGCATATCACCACAACAAGGTGACCGATTAATAGATGCCATGAACTTTCCCAACCAGTGACGAGTCTCACCCTTTATCACTTCTCTGTTTCTTTCGTCAGTTAGAAGCTACTGCGTATCGACAGCTAATTTATCAAAATCATTTAATTTGGCCACTTTAGGCTTGTACTATAACAGTTGCATACAATTAACAAAATTAAGACAAATTGTTCATCACAAATATTTATATCACAAATAATTGCTGGCTAAAATTCCATGATCGTGACAGGCCTATAAAGTCTAGATCAACAAGACGTTTGCAGTATGTCAAATGGGCATGACCGAGCTAGTCTGGAAGATTGGCAACAAAAAAATCCTCCATGTTGGTGGAGTTAACAAGCTAGCTATCTCAACATCGCTAACAATAAGGAGTAATGATACAAAAGTGAACATAATTGTATCAAATAATTATTTACTCAGAGGAGTATAGTGCTGCATGCTGAGTCCTACCAAAAAAATGTGGATAACTGGCATGGTCGGCAGCAGTGGGATGACTTGTATGCCGCTGCGGTTAGCAAGCTTGCTAACTCATCTAAAACAAACAGTAAAACCACAAAAGTAAAGATGATAATACACAGTCTCTGTTTCATATGTTTATTTATAGCCAGTAGGGGAAAATGGTAAACAGTTTGTGCTTGGACTCTGGTTAAGTTAGTATTTCCTCCATTTTTAAAGCTCAGTACTATGAAAGGCCTCTTTAGAGGTCAACACAGCCCAAGCAGTATTGCTGTTGGCAGAAGATGCAAAGTCTGCCCCAGGAAATCTGTGATGCAAAATCGCTCATCTCACTAAATTTGACTGAAATAAATGCAATTTTGCTCACAAAAAAGTCGCTGGCAAGCGCAAGTGTAACTGGACCTTTAGCACTGCATGTTTGCATTACTCTTTTAGCTATGAAGAAAAAACTGAGAAAACTGCTACCACCCTACTGCAGAAGGGCGACTCAAAACAACACTTAATAACCCTCAGACATATGAAGTAGTGTTCAAAAATGTCACACCACTGCCCATTGTCAAAAGTGTGAGAAAGCAGGGTGAGCAAGCTTGGGCGACTACACAGAAGGCAGCCTGCTGAGGAACAGCCGCCCAATTGTATCTCCTTCAGCCCGGGTCAGGAGCTGCCTGGCGAGACAGGAAGTCTAACGTAAAGCATCTTTGTAGTCGGGTCATGGCACCACAGCTAAGGACTAGGGAGGCAGACACTAGACCTAAAATATGCTCCTCACTGGCGGAAGCCCGTCTTCCTCCCATGCAATCATTACCGGAACCTTTAGTTTAGTCCTATTAATGGCCTCATTTCATCCATGAGTGCCTAAGCTCTCAGATATGGACCGAGAGACAATTTCGCCCTCATTGTCTCCCTCTGCCGCAGCTCGAATAAAGCAGTCTGCATTTGCATTCCCATTAGTTAGGGAATTAATTCCAAAGTAGCACGATGCTGTCAAAAGATAATGCTTCCATTGCTGGCCCTTAGGTGTTAAGCAATTAAAATATGTCTTAATTAACACTGAAGTATTCTGAGCTCATACTGAACAGGTGTAGTCCTGGGATAAGGTGACTAATTAATGCATCAGCTAGGTTGCGCTCTTCTGTGTGGCATCACGCTTCATGAAATTAGCATCATTTCCAGAGACATAGAGCAGTTTGTGCCACAAACCCAATTATGAAAGACTGGTTTTCATACACTGCCTGATATCCACATCGTAAGGGACTATAATTTGTAAGGATGACAGGATCAGCCCTAACTTGTAGATGAAAAATAGCCCTCTAGAGCGAAGTGAGCAAGGTGACCCTTCTTCATCACGGGGGCCGCTATCAGGGGGGCTGGTGTGTTTTGATTGTCCAGTCGATAATCCCAAAACAGACAGCCGTGGTCCGTGTAGTGGGGTGGGGGGTTTGGAATGGAGGGGCCCCAATTAATACAAGGTGAACAGAAGGAAAAACAAGGGCTTGTTAAAAGCCTACAGAGGGATTGGCGTTAGGGAATGAGCACAGCGGGTAAAACTGGAGGGAGGGGAAGAAGGGTGGTACGCAGGGACGAGAGGGAGGGGGAATAAGAGAGGGAGAGAAAGAGAAGGAAAACAAAGTAGGAGAAGGAAGACACTGAGGAGGGGGCTGATAGAGTGGATGAGGGGGGGGGTGGGTGAGCAGGGGGGTGTGGATTAGAAACCAGGAGTCTAGTCTAGCCCCTCAGGAGAATGCTGCTTTCTCATCCAGAACCAGCATGAAGTTCAACTCCAAACTTCAAAAGACTTAAGGGCATCTCAGAAGAGGGAAAGGAGGCGCATGGCTAAAGCATGTGGCTGCATTAAAACAATAAACTGCAATATAATATAGTCGAATAGCGTTTATTTCACAGCTAAGGACATCTTAAAGGAAGGAAAAAATGGTGCATGACTAAATGTGGCTGCCTTACACAGCATTAAACTGCAATAGCCTACAGTTCTCAACCTTTTCCTCCTCAAAGCCCTCCTGTTTGTCACTAGAAGGCATGAAGGGCCACAAGAAAACAAAACAAAACTTTTTTCACTTAAAAGTTTCATTTTTGGGAAATTATCAACAGAGGTATGTTTGGGTGCCTACCCTGCAGTACATGATGCATATCAGTGAACGTAAAATATCAGCAGATTAGGCTAATGTAAGCTTGTTTTATACCAGAAATCAGGCAGAGTGGTGGCAAATGAAGTAGAATCTTTCTACAAATATCTTTTTACATCAGTTGCTCATGAGTGGACAATTAAAACATAAGGGATTAGTGTATTTTGTTTTTAGAAGCAAGGGGCAAATAACTAACAAAGCTGCCTTGGCAGAAGAACTTGTTAATATTAATATTGTTTACAGTTTGAAAACCTTTAATATTTCTTTGTTATTGTTGAGCCAATTGTTCCAATAGTGCCAATTGTTCCAACAGTGCCATCACTGACCAACTACGGACCACTGACCCCCCCAATATTGGCCAGTATGACCAAAGGGTGCTTTGCGGCCCACTTGTGGTCCACAGCCCAGTGATTGAGAAGGCTCACAGTACAGTGGAATGCAACTTATCTGACAACTTCTTAGTGGACCACTCCACTGTAGCAAGGATTGAATTGTTTGACCAGCTGTTTCTGATGAGTCCCTGCCTGCCATGTTTGGGGGGAAAACACTGTGCCTCTCAGTTACTTCACTGTTTCCACCTTCCAGAGATTTTATCAAGGTGAACACACACAAAAGAGCACTGTCTGGAGATACCAGACATGATACTGGGGTCAATGCAAAGCAGCTCATTAGCACACAACCTATAACTTCATAAGGCAGGTGAAACGTCCGAGCAGCAGGTAACGTGCTAACGGAAGCACGTGAATTGTCCAGCCTTAAGTTTAAATATAATGAAAGCAACGTTTAAGTGAGATGCTAACTTAAGGTACCACTTTTAGAGGTGTCTATCAGAGAATAGTTACATGAGGCTGCAACTGGTTTCCCATTCGCCGGCTTCTTATTTGAATTTCCGTTCCACCTTAAATGTTGCAGCAGTTCCATTCTTTCCATTCTTTGGCGCGTACAGTGGCGGGAATGGAGCTGCAGCACCAGTTAAGGTGGAACTGATAATTCGACTATGAAGGTAGCTTTGTTCATTTCAGTCTGAAGAAATGTTTTAAGTTGGGAACCAGTGACATCGATACAGAGGTCCCCTTCACTGTATGGTCGGTTATAATGAAAACAGAGCCTTATTAGGCTACTTTCTCTGTCTTTTCATTCAGCACATGTCAAAAAGTATGTTTGGCTTTTAAGGAAAAGCCCGTAAACAGTAAAAACACCGTGCGTGATATTTAAGCATCCAGGCTAGTCAGCTAGTCAGCCTCGCTCACTGAAACAACTGACCAAAACAACTAAAAACGAACACGCTCAGTTAAAAAACGCTGCTTGACTGACTTTGTTTTAGAAATATTTCCAAACAAAGTCAGTCAGGCACATCTTTTGTTGTGTCCTCAGGCCAAAAATGCAAAAAAAAGATGCCCAGTTGAGGCAAGTGTGGCTGAAGGAGTCAGTCAGTCAGAGTGCATCTCACTCGCAGCAGCTCAGAAGAAAAAGTTTCTCAGACAATGAAAAACAGCACAGCTTGAAAACGAAGAGGAATGGCGCCTACCTTCCCAAGTGGCATGATAAAGAGAAAGAGCCAGGAGTAAAAGCGTGCCTTTCCTCATCATTTCTCCTTTTCCTCTCCTATCCAGGTCTTAGAAATGAAGCGCTCTCCTTCCTCGCCAGGAGACAACTGGCCAGATTTGGCTGGAGAGTGAGAGAGTGAAGGAGGAGGAGGAGGAGGGAGGAGGAGAGGAGAGAGAGACACACAGCGAGAGAAAGAAAGAAAGAGTTGTTGGCTCACAGTTACATCCACAAAAATAAAGCGAATTAAATGAATTTCGGTTTTTCTTGTCACATATTTCCATTCAAACAAATGAAGCAGACTCAGCAACGGACTATGTCACCTTAACACTGTAAAATGCTGTTGTTATTATGTTCAGGCTGTAAACCAAACAGCTCCCTCGGTTCACATGGTGACAAGCGAGGTAACAAAATGGCCATATTTAGTGAAGACCTGGTTTGACCAAAATAAGCCCTAATTAGCCAACTTAGCTTTACTCTTAGTCATGCTTCAATAAAAGACAAACACTGTACGTTTCTAAGGGAGAATTCCACCGAGTTTTAAACATTTCTGCATGATGTACTATATAAATAGTCATTCAGAGTGGCCTGATGTGAAATTGTTCACTGTAGAGAAACTTACAGGCTCAGACTTCTTTACAGTGGTGGTGACAGGAGCCAGGCCTGCGTTTACAACACAAATATAGCATTTATTTACATTTTAAAAACGAGTGAACCTCCACATGTCTTCTGAGTTTTTAGATTTAATGTTGATAATGGTAAAATAGTGGTGAATTTGAAAAGAATAAAGGTTTTTTTGGGGGGTGGGGGGTGTTTTTGCCTCACAATGTCCTGTGTGTACTCCGCTAAGACTGGATTTTCAATCTAAAAGACATGTTTGTAATGATTTAATGTCTTCTGTGAGGGAGATTTTAGAGGCAGTGAAATTCTTCAGACGTCTGGTTCCTATCACCACCACTGCGAACACTTCTGACTCTGTAAGTCTCCAGATTTACATCTTAATCATTTTTTTTAAATTTGGTGTAATTCCCCTTTAAAAGATAACAGAGCCACATAAGCTACTATTGAAAAGTTTGGAATCATTTGTCATGTAATAATTGTTATTCAGTAATAAATCATATGGCGGTATAAACACTGAAACGTAAACCTCCGGTTAATTCAGGATTTAAAGTATTTTGGGGAAAACAAGAAGTCAGCAAAACAAATAAATAATATTAAATAACAGTCTGTAATTATCTATTTATTAATAATATCTATGACTTTTGTCACTTCTTGTTACATAGTTACTAAGAATAACTATCAATTATTGTTAAATCTTCTTCAGCTTGGTTTAACATTGAAAATATTGTTAATTTTAGCTTCCTACAATTTTTTGAAAACCTACACAATATTAACATCATATTAGAATAATTTAATATAGGGTTCTGCTACAATATAGGATGATCCAAACTTTTAAATGGCATAGAATTAACAGAGGTAGTTTATTAACTAGCAATTTAATTACAGAGAGACCAATAGATTTCAAAGAACACATGCAGAGAGTAGTAAAAGTAAAATATTACTGTTGTTTAAAGTCATGTTTAAGACTGATAAGTCAATGTGGTGATCAGTTATTCATCTCAGTGTTACTGAGCTCTGCTAAAGCCTGAGTAGACTGATAAATCAATGTGATGATCAGTTATTAATCTCAGTGTTACTGAGCTCTGCCAAAGCCTGAGTAGACTGATAAATCAATGTGATGATCAGTTATTAATCTCAGTGTTACTGAGCTCTGCCAAAGCCTGAGTAGACTGATAAATCAATGTGATGATTAGTTATTAATCTCAGTGTTACTGAGCTCTCCTAAAGCCTGAGTAGACTGATAAAGTGCTGTGATGATCAGTTATTAATATCAGTGTTAATGAGATTACAAAAAATACGTTGAGAAAGTAGTAAAAGTAAAATGTTATTGGTGTTTAAAGTTGTGTTTAAATTAGCAGTCTCAATTTTTAGCATCTAATACCTCTTGATCCCATTAGGAACCCATCAAATGCATTTAGAATCAGGCATTGGTCACCTGTTAAACCATTTGGATCCTTTACATTGTGATATAAACCCATTAAAAGGCCGAAACATGTTACAAAACCTTCAGGAGCAAACAGAAACACTTAATGGTTTCTATGGGGCTCTTCAGCAGGGACGTGTGATATAATTCTACACTTACATTATGTCTCATGCTGTGAAACCATGTTACCGAAACCTTTTTAACCATGCAAAAGGAAGAAGTAAACCAAGTCATATGAGAAACCGGAAACTGTGGGTAAAGTTGGTTTTCCGTAGCTACTTGGTGGTAGCTACCGAGTTACCATACATTTATTTAAGTGTGATGTTAGAATGCTCTACACATCTCTGCAAAGTATTAGAAAAATACATTTCTAAAATATTTCAATGAAAAAATAAAGTATACATTATTGGACCTTCTGCTTACAAATTAGAATTAGTTTGGCCTATTAGACATAATGCTAATGTGACTTAATTGACAAGCTTTTTACTCTTGTCACAAGCTGAATGGAGCCATTCTAATGGTCTTACAGCTGAGACGGCTCATAGAGTGCCACAGCGAGAAAGAAGACACTGAAAAGTTGTGGTTTTCCCAGGAGGTGTTGAGTTGTTGGTGAGTTTGGTTCTGGCTACAGTGTTGAGCCTTCTCTAAACGAATGCCTCAGCTCACAGGTTGTTAACAACCTCTGCTGGTTTTCGCCACTTCACTGTCACCTCTGCTAACAGCTGCGTGTATGCTGGGGGGTTCTGTCACTCCAGCTGTCCCAGTGCCCTCACACCATATATCACCCTGCTCCTCCACCCCAACACTGAGGCGTATTGTATGACAGCCAAAAAGGAGGGAAACTCTGATACTTTGTTCTACTCATTCTGACCATCTTATAAAGCAATATTTTAGCAAGAAAGCACTTTTCATAGATTCTCTATACCAGCCAAGACATTTTGCTGTCTAAAGTTTGCCTCTTTAGTCTATAACTGGAGCTATGAGCAGAATTGGGATGTAAAGGAATATAAGTATTGGAAGTACGTGTTCACAATACAAACATTAAGTATCTGTATTCAGTCACATTTTGTACAGGCAGTATTCAGACTATGGTTACTTTTACATTTTTAGGAGAATGCTTTGAGAATACTTACCCACTAAATACCAAAAACACACAGAATAGTAAAAAAACACCATCAATGCCTATTTATGAATTATTTTAGAATCTGCACACAACATTTAGCAAACATGCTCATTAGACAAATTCTGAAGAGGACCCCACTTGGCGGCCTCTTTACAAACACTGAGATTCCTACTGAAGCCTGAGTAGACTGATAAATCAATGTAATGATCAGTTATTAACCTCAGCATTACTGAGCTCCACTAAAGCCTGAGTAGACTGATAAATGAATGTGATGATCAGTTATTGATCTCAGCGTTACTGAGCTCCACTAAAGCCTGAGTAGACTGATAAATGAATGTGATGATCAGTTATTGATTTCAGCGTTACTGAGCTCCGCTAAAGCCTGAGTCGACTGATAAATCAATGCAATGATCAGTTATTAATCTCAGTGTTACTGAGCTCTGCTAAAGCCTGAGTAGACTGATAAATCAGTGATGATCAGTTATTAATCTCAGTGTCACTGAGCTCTGCTAAAGCCTGAGTAGACTGATAAATCAATGTGATGATCAGTTATTAATCTCAGTGTCACTGAGCTCTGCTAAAGCCTGAGTAGACTGATAAATCAATGTGATGATCAGTTATTAAGTGTTACTGAGCTCTTATAAAGGAATGGTCAGACTAATAATCTTCTCAGTAGTGGACATGTTTGCAAGTGATACGTTCAGCATTGATGCTGTACTGGACTTCTGCTCAGGGGGATTGTGGGAGCAGCAGTGGACCAAAGCAGGCAGTGGGAGAGAAAGAAGTTACAACTGTTTTTAAATGAAGAGAGTTTTTTATGAAACATACCAACAGAATAAGCACATGAAAAAAATTGTCGACCAGTAACAGGGAGGAACAGTATGAATTTTTCGTCTGCCACACCAAGATGTATTGTAAATGTATTCTGAATACATTCAGTGTTTTTTAAAAGATCATTTTGATTTCTTTTAATGTGAAGTTGAAAGAAAAATATTATGATTTTATGTGTGTACAACTGTTCAAAGCTGTGTTTGCTAGTCATATATTGGCTAGTGTTCTTCAGTTGTGCTTAAAATTCCCAAAAATTGTCACTAGCAAAACATTTGGTAAGACTTCGGTAGTGTTGTGATTGTTTTGGTAGTGACAAAATGTAATGTCCAATCATTTTTTATTAAATAAACATAATTAACATATAGGGTCACACAAAGCAAAACCGACTCAGATATTTTGAATTTATATGATCAAATTAGAATGTTTTTCCATGTAACTTGTAACAGATTAACTGGGACACTGTTGGTTCTCTGTGTGTGAAATATTGTGACTCTGTGTTGAGCTGCTAGCGAGCAATGGAGGGTGAAACGGGAGGGGTGAGAAGCCCCTGCTGTGACCAAAATTCACATTTCTCCACAAAGACGGCCGAGATAAGACCAGCAGTACAACTGCAGCTTTCTTGATCGCAAAGACTGGTGTAGAATTGCAACAATAAAAAAAGTATTAATTAGGAATACCTACTAATACAAAAGTCCTGTTCGCCTCTGGTTTTGTAAATCCTACACATTTTCACCGAAATATATTCCAGTAATGTTATTGAAGATGATGCATAATCCAACAGAGAAACCTCCAAAATAAACGGAGACTGCATTTTTTGGCTGCTGTGAAAATACATAAAGACACAACTGCAAGATTCTATTCTAAATTCTTTAAAGTACAGTGGTGTAATTGTATGAAAGAGCTTCTGGATGTTTTTCCATTCGTATGATGCACTGTATTCCAGATAAAGCCTGCACATTAGGCAGCAAGTACACTTGAGTTTGTTCTCCTCATCTGTCTCACTGTCAACACTTCAGATGTGTTTGTCCACCTGCTAATGTGGACCCTCGCTGACACACCACTGAGGAAATTAGAGGCAAGAACCTGACTGCTACTTCTGAATCCAGGTCAGAATTACTGAGGGGCTTCTCTCGCGCAGCGTTAA